AATCTACAGGGCCATAAAGATACTCACCCTACTAAACAAACTGTAAAAACAAGTTGGGAAAGTAACAAAATGAAAAAAGAAAGTTTTTGTGTTTGTGTTTGGGAATTATGTAAGGAATTCAAAGTTAAAGAATGGAATATTAGTCCGACGGTGTTGTTATCAGCTGTTCCACCATGGTTGCTACCTCAACCTATAGTAGATTTATCTTTATTGAAACGGTTACATTCAATGAAAAACAAAATTAATGTACAGGCTTATGTGAATACTGTTCTACATGAACAATATGGGCAGTTTATACAAATATTTACTGATGGATCCAAAAATCCAGAAAATGGTCAAACTAGTTGTGCATTTTATGTTCCTGAATTAAAAGTAAAAGTGGGAAAGCGGACGAGTGATCATATCGCAGTATATACAGTAGAGATGATGGCTATCTCACTAGCACTTCAGTGGGTAGAGGAAATACAGCCAATGCGAGTGGTCATTTGCTCTGACTCCAGTGCAGCTCTGGAGAGTATAAACAACTTCTCTTCAGAATGTCGACAGGATATTTTACATGAAATTTTACACATCATGTTTAGGTTAGTTCATCTGGGAATTGTTGTTCAATTTGTGTGGGTTCCAGCGCATGTGGGTATTAGAGGGAATGAGGTAGTGGATCAACTGGCAAAATGTGGTTTGAAAGCAAACCAGATTGATATTATGGTACCCATCAGTAGAGTAGAAGTCAAATCTGTTACAAAAGTTGTTATCAAGCAACAATGGCAAAAACTATGGGACAGTAACACCAAAGGAAGACATTTATATCAGATACAAAGGGAAGCAACGGGAAGCACTTGGGGGAGTAGTAGAAGAGAACAGAGCATTAACAGCAGGATAAAAGTGGGTCACTCTGGATTAAACTCATCACTGCATCTGATTGGAAAACATCCAAATGGCAATTGTGATGGTTGCCAACAACCAGAGACAATACATCATGTATTTTTTAGCTGCCCGGATTATAACAGACAAAGACTCATTCTGAAAACTGCACTGGAACAACTCAACATCAAGGACATGGATTTCAAGTCAATATATGAAAGTAAATCAAGAAATGAAGCAAACAAGTTGATCTTCAAATTCCTCAAAAGCACTGGTCTGAGGACAAGGATTTAGTATAAACATTTAATAAAACCAACAGTAGGTGGCGATATATGCTCCAAGTGGAAGCGATTCGCTATTAAAGAGAAGAAGAAGAAGAAGAAGACTGATATAAACAAACAAATAGCATGTGCGTTCCATTTTCACTCTCGTCCATCGAAAACATGTTTTAGAATATAAAAATACATGAATGATGAAATGAGCACATAAAGTGCAGACATACTATAAAATCACAGTTAATAGACCTGCATCTGATGATCGCAGTGTTCTGGCGGGTGTGTAGTTTATTGAGTCAGCAATGTAATAATGGCCACTTCTTGCTAAATTTACGATGAGATGGAAAAACCGGATTTGACCAAACAAATCACGGAGCTCTCAGCAGAGGACAGCCGGGGACGCTCCCGCCGATATCAGAGATGTCCCTGCTATGTGTGGGAGGTAAGAGAGGACATTTAAGGGCTATGTTTGATGTCTTTAAGTATCACCTGCTGGTGTTTAGCTGCTGTCTTGTGCCTTAAATCGTTTGTTTACGTCCCTCACTTCCGTTTCGCTTCTCATTTGCTAGCTGAACAGCTGATCAGAGTGGTTTCTTGACCCGATAGCTTGTGTCCGACCGTGTCGACTGTGAAAGGCCAAATAAGGCGTGTCACGGCCGAGGGTTCGGGACACACCAAATTGACTTTGGGCGACAAGGAACCCGTTTTCGCCCAACAACGCAAGACGGCCGATATCGGCCTGGTGTGTAGGGGCCTAGTCCACACTAAACTAAAGAATATCAGTGTCCGGGCTAGGGAGGCGCCTCGAATTTCTGAGGTTGGTTTCATCTGCCTCTCCCACATTTGTAACCCCTTCTCAAAGCTCGGAGCTAACCTCGGGCGGGCCCTGCAACCTACAACCAAGAATGCGGTTTATGCCGTCAGGTGCAGGGCCTGCCACAAGCTCTGTGGGGGAGACGCGGCATGAGATCAGCCTCAGGATAAAACAACACTTATATAGAATAAATAGCGGTTACGGTACGAGCGTTCTCTACCTTCATTTTAAACTCCACGGCCCAGAGAACCTCCAGTCTTTGGGCCTGGAGAGCAGCGGGAGCTGGACCACAGAGACGGGCAGCGGAGAGGAGGTGGATTCTTCGCCTCAAAACGATAGACCCTATACAGGCCTCAATGAAAAATATCAATGATGGGTCTGCCTCCTTTTTATCAGATGGTTTTTAAATCTCTTTTACACATTTTCTTTTTAAAAAGATACTTACCTTTTTTAAGACTTGCAACTTAACAGGTCCCTCCTGTCCTCCCGACGTGTGCTTCTCCCCTCCGGATGTTTTTAGAGACCTCCTCTCTCCCCTTTCACACCAACGGTGTTTCAGGGCCGGTTCGGTGCTGGTGCTTGAAAAGCACCGGGTTTTCCTGTTCACACCGCAGCGGAGCAGCGTCATAGCTCCGGAATCCGGTTCGTTTCGAGCACCAAAAAGTTGTCCGTCGAGAAGCAAGAACCGCATACGTCACGCTTACGTCGGAGGGGGGCGAGATTAACCTGAGCTAACACTTAAGGCGAGTACGGCAAATAAAAGTTGTAACAAGCAGTAGTGCTGAGCAAAGTGACTAGAACGCAACCACACACTTGTTAAAAAAAACACACTTTATAAAGTCAGGCAACACTAACCAGGCTTCGTGTGATTCTGTTTATTTGTACCTTACTTTGACCATCCGTTCGCTGTTATTGATCATTGTGGAGAGCAGGCAGACGTTTTGTTTGTTATTATAGCAGCTATCGGATGGAATCAATACATGGGCTGCACAGGTTGTCATGTCCGACTATCACAAGTAGAATCATAATGAAAAATACGTCGGTAAAAAGTGCCTGTAGAAAACTGCTTAGCAAGTAGTCAGTTTAGCTTCGGTTGCTATGCTAACATCACCCATGTTATACCAGAGAAACTTTCATAACAGCGTTGTGATGCCAAACAGCGTCAATTCAGACTGACACCAAACAGCGTCAATTCAGACTGACACACATTCACTTAAGGGGAACTGGGGATATGTATCAGCTGCTTGTGTGACAGTCAGACAGTGAATACTTTAGAGCCGTGTGAGCTAACCCGGAGCTAACGGGAGAATACACTCGTGGAAGAGCAGCCGGCCAGCACTGCAGCGGTCGGTAAATGCCGCTGAAACACATTAATAAACAATGAACCACGGCACTCTGGAGAAAAGTATAAGGTTGGAGAAGTCGTTATTTAATTTAATCTGGCTTCGTATGATTAAAAGCAACGCAGTCCCCGGCCCGTTGTTATTGTGAGGTGAGCTCCGGCGTTGGGGAGAAACTCAGCGACGTAAACTGTGACGTCATGACGCAGCAGCGGCAGCACCAGTCGGGCTCTGAGCGGTGTGAAAAGAGCCGGCGCTAAACCGAAGAACCGGTTCTGAACCAGAAAAGCTCTAGCACGGAGCTTGAACCGGAGTTGCGTTGGTGTGAAAGGGGCAACTGTGGTGATGGCAAACCAGAAGTTCCACCCTATTTTATATTTTATATATATACATTACCTAAGGGTATTGCTTTTTAAATTAACTATCTAATTATTTATTTATCAAAGTATTATTTAATTATATTGTAGTATTTATCTGTGTATCATTTATTTTTTATACATATTTCCTATCCTTATTTTTATAAATCCTCCTCATCTGGACTCCTTTATGATTTTTGAAATGCATGGGTTTCTTTGTTTATTATTATTATTATTATTATTATTATTATTATTATTATTATTACTACCATTTTATATATTTTTCTTACATTTGATATTATTTACATTTGACATGTCACAGTTTATTTCATGTTTGCACTGTATTGCATGTTTTCTTATGTCATTAGGTTCCAAATTAGGAGATGATATATTTTATTATTTTTTTATATATTATTAATCCCCCGTTTCCTATTTAAATATTGTTTATATTGTTTTATTTATATTTTAGTTATTACTTTCCATTTTTAAATGGATGTTGAAGCCTCCCGCAGGGAAATACCCTGAAATAACCCCTTAATAAAGTATTTTTAAACATCATCCAAGGCTTTTCCCATGTCTCACCTGCACCACCTCTCTAGACCGAGGCCTGGGTTTTAAACACTTTTAGGGACACTTGGTTGACTTCACTTTAAGATATGTCCCCTCCCTGTGTGCCTACTAACCCATGTGTATTTTATATTTTATATTTTACATATTTGTTTTATATTATACATATTTTAACATTTGGGTTGATGTGATTCTTATTACCAGCACTTATTTTTAAAAGCACTTATTTTTAAAAGAACTTTTATGTACTTATTTCATCATTTTTTAACACTAATTTTACCTGCATGCCGATTTTAAACAAAGTCAACCTCGGTCCTTTTAGCCAGAGGTTTTTTTACCCACTTACCAGATCTTTTACCAGATGCTGTGGGACGCAGCCTCGGACACTCCACCGGGGGAGACCCCCTCGCGGGGGCAGGAGTACAGGTTTTAACCCCGCCGCATACGCTCTGTGCTGCAGCCGCTGCTCTCTTTTATCCCTTTTATTCAATTTTTTTAAAACATTTTTAACCCAGACCAAACAGGGCTTTTATAAACTTTTATTGGTTTTACTACAGGAGTTTTTAAACAAAATATTGACCCGAGTTCCCCAAAACCCTAACCCTTACCCTAACCAAGTCTTCACCCTAAAATGAATGATTCCCCTTATGGGGACCTCCATTATGTCCCCATAAGGGAGGCGAGTCCCCACACGTGATTGTGTAAACAGATTTAGGTCCCCATAGTAATAGTAGTATAGTAATGCTAGGCCACACACACACATGCACACGCACACGCACACGCACACATTACAACACCAGCAGGTTGCTCCTTCCTGCTCCAGCCTCTTCACCTCAGTACGGACAATGCCCATCATGGAGGTGGTGGTTTTTGCTGTCGTGCTGCTGGTTTTTACAGGTGAGTGCTCCTAAATAGTGTCTTAAAATAAGCTGTGTTATTTCTCATTATTTCTTTTGGAGAATGAGAAAAAAAAGGTCCCAGGAGGATTTTCTTTTGTCATTTTGTCTAGTCAAAATGTCAAGAATAAAGTTGTGCCAGGTGTAAGAAGAAAGAATATAAGAGGAGAATTACTTTGTTGTACTTTGAGAATAAAGTGAATACGTTAAGAATAAAGTTACCTTTAAAGAATAAAGTGGAAACATTATGAATAAAATTTGATTTTAAGAATAAATTGGAAATGTTAAGAATAAACTTGAAATTAAGCGATTAAAATCAAACTTTCAGTATCAGTACTAGATATTAAAAAAAAGTTTATTTTAGATTTTTGAATTTGTAAAGAATAATATAGTGTCACATTGCTCTTATCTGCTATATACAAAGTTCAGCCTGCTTAGTGACAGGGTATGACAGAAACGTCCTTATCTCAGTCAACATTGAGTTTCACTCAACATGAAAATCCAGACAAGCCTGTTTCCCTCCCCATGTTTTCACTGTCAACTTGTTTTCAATCACTCTTCTTTGGTTAACAAATGAATCTTGGTCAGTTTGATTCACCTCATGACACCTTTGTTATCTGTACATCATTTTGTTTTTACAACCTGCTGCATGTGTTTTTGTTACCTTCATGACGCACATGCCAGCCTCTCCCTGTCATGGTTTTGGATTTGTTGTTTTAATTTTCCACCTTTTATTTTGAAATGTTTTCCTCCTTGTGTCTTGTCTGATCCTACTTCCTGTGTTTGCCTTCCTGTCGTTAGTTTCCCTGGTGTGTCTGATTGTCTCATTGTGTTCACCTGTTGCCCTTGTGTTTCTGCCTCCCCTGCCCAGCTGTGTCTTGTCCTGTGATTACCCTTCTGTGTATTTCGTCTTGTCTTGTCCTGTGCTCCATGTCTGTTCGTCGTCGTTTCATGTCCCTGCTACCTTGTCTCTTCATGTCCTTGTTCCCTGCCTCGTCTATGCTTGTCCATGTCTCCTGCCTGTTCCCGTCTGTAAGTTTGTTCCTGTCTGTCGTGCTCCCCGGTTTTGGTTTTGTTAATTAGTTTCTTGTTTTTCATGTCTTCGGCTTTTTTATAATAACGCTCGCTTTTTGTTAACAAACCTTTTTTGTATTTTTTAACTGCACTTGGGTCCTATTTTCCCCACCTTGACTCTCCCATTCATGATGCAAAGTCACAAGACACTGATAGACCTGCTGGTTTGGTTTCCTCTAACAATGTGCTTATGACAAATGTAATTAACACAGTTCCTAACAAATGATATCACTATGCAAACTAAACAAGCAAACCCTACAGCTTCCCATGAGTAACCAAACAATGTTGTTGTCCCTCCCACAGGATGCAATGCACAGTCAGATGGTGAGTAATGCTCTCATACCTTTTTTAAATCCTTATTTATTAATTTAATTGAAAGGTTTCATTATTATTATTATTATTATTATTATAATCATTATTAGAGCTTTTATTTTTCCCTCATTGCTTGCAGTCTCTTTATAATTTACAAACATTAACTCATTCATTTACATAGTTACCTCCCTTGGTTTGCATATTGTAACATATTTCAATCTTTTTATTATTAGTCATTTTTCTTTACTTATTTATGTATTCTTTTTTGTGTCTTATGAACAAAAAGAGGTTAAAGGTGCTCAAGATGTGCATTTTTGAACTTTTGAACCCCGTTTAATGTCCTAATATTAGAAATAATAAAAAAACTACGCTTAATAAAAGGTAAAAACAACACTTATTAAAGATGTTAAAATTACTGCTAAATAAATAACAATGATAATAAATAATGATGATTAAATAATTATACTTAATTACTAATAGTAACATAACAATAACAATCAAGAACCTGGCAAACATAGATAACAGATGAGCTAGCAAAGCAAGTATTAAAAGATCGCACAAGTACCACTGAAAAACATTAAAGGTCCCATATTATACTATATTTGAACAATATATTATGGGGCCATATCTATACAAAACATATCTCTGAAGTGTTTTGCTCCAAATACATTGTAGCCATGCCTCATACCCCTCTATTTCAGCCCTGTTACAAAAGTGCTGATTCTGGGTCAGTAGCTTCAGATGTAACCGAGCTGCTGCTGGCCACGCCCCTTTGGAGCGCCCGCATGCAAGCAGTGAGCTCTGTGAAGAGTGTCTACTCTACCGGCAGTAACTCAGCTAAACGCTGCCGTGACTAAACGCCATATTATGTTCCAAACCACATCAAGCATTATTTCTGAAACAGTATTGGGATCAAACGCTTTCTCTCTCGTGGGTTTACCACAAGGACAGTACCCTTTTATATCCTGCTTCTTTACACATATTCTCTCCAGCACAGCGTTAGCTCTGAGTGTTAGCGATGCTTGCTAACGTAAACACAGACCATATTACTTTCTGATACAGCACATAGCTTGACATGTTCTTTATTCATGTTTACCGCTAGAACAGTGCCATTGTATGTATTATATATATATATACTTTACTCTAAGTCCCTCTCGTAGACATCCTGCTGAATACACAGACACACAGCTGTGGGAGGGGATTCAGCTAGCCGACTGTATATGGGGACGATAGGTTGGGCCACATTTTAGTAATGTGTTCATGACCGCAGCAAATCTGGATCAGCTCCATTGTACTCCCGTTTTTAGAGATGCGGGTAAGGAGGCAAAGAGAGAGGGTTTTATACATATTTATGTATAAAATACATAAAATAGTGCATTTTGGATAATAGGTGACCTTTAACACTAATTAAATAAAACGGACAAAAAGAGTTAGAAAAAACTTAATTAAAGCATCAAAATGCAATTTAAATCCCTGATTTTGATGCTTTAATTAAAAAAATTCTGAGTGATAAAAAAATAGACAAATGATTCTGAACTCACTTTTTCTACTGTACAGTTTTTAATTTTTAATTCTGTCTCATCTGATTTGATTTCACATGTGTGTATATAGGTTACTAATTCCTGCATTTAACTTTATCCACTTATGTTACATGCAACAATTCATTTCTTCATGTTTTAATGTCTTAAGTATAGTATTTTTGGAGGAACCTGGGACTTCACTTTCAGTACAAACAACAAATATTTTAAAAGCTAAGCTAAGCTAACCACCTGACTCTGTGCCCTATCCATGTGAGCATCTCAGTCTAAACAACAGTATTTTGTTTAAACAACAGTATTTCACAAAATGTCAAACTGGCCTGAGCGCACTGAATAATCTTTGTGGTGTTATTTATTGAAGACATTTTTCTCTGAACCCTGATGCACTGTGTCCCTGCAGTCTGTGGCACCGCACCGCTCAACACTAAGATTGTGGGGGGGGAGGCTGCTCCTGCAGGCACGTGGCCCTGGCAGATCAGCCTGCACGACGGATCCAGACATATCTGTGGAGGCTCTCTGATCAACAACCAATGGGTGCTGACTGCAGCTCACTGCATGAGGTGACACACGACTCTGCACCTCACCTGTCCCAAACACAGTCTGCTAACACAACAAAAAGTATTTGTCTTTTCCCAGCTGCTTTGGTCTCTTTTAATAATTGTGTATCTCTTTGTAGTCTTTTGTGTCTCTTGTCATTTTCCCTTGTGTTAGTTTGTGTCATTGTCTTGCTTTGGTCGTTTTTCGCCCTGTTGTGTAGATATTTTGAGTCCATTATTATCTTTTTAATTACCTTTTTGTGTCTCTTTATAATTATTTTGTGTCTTCTTGTGTCAGTTTGTAATGGTTTTCGTCTTTTGTTGTTTTATTCTTTGTCATCGCATTTTGTCTCTTTGTAGTCATTTTTGGTATCTTCTTCGGCATTTTAGGCCCCTGTTCATAATCCATTTGATCTGACCTGAGTGCTTCCTTTGCATCTGTATTAAACATGTTGTCTCTGTTTCTCAGATCCAGCACTTTCGGTTATACCGTGTATGTCGGAAGGGACACCCAACAACTCTCCAACCCAAACGAGGTGTCCCGGACCCTGTTACAGGTCATCAGACACTCGGGCTATGATCCAAACACAAACGATAACGACATCGCCTTGTTGAAGCTGTCTGCACCTGTGACCTTCACAGACTACATCAAACCCGTGTGCCTGGCCAAAGACGGCAGCACGTACGCTGCCGGGGCAACCTGCTGGGTCACCGGCTGGGGAACCATCAGGAGTGACGGTGAGAATTTATTTTATTAAAAAAATACTATACAAACAGGCTCGGGACTAACGGATAACATGGTACGGGATTACGTAATCAGGATGCATAAAAGGTAACTATATTCAGGGGTGCACATAACTGGTACGCAGGTACGCATGCGCGGCAACAATCTGAAATGCGTAACGTCACTTGTCACAACGCGCCTTTGCGTACCTGATAGGTCATCAAAACAAAACACATATTTCGCCTACACATGTTTCTTGTCAATACTCAGTGGAGTAAATTATTAGACATGTCCAAAAAAAACAAAGACATTAAGCAGCCACTTTGCCGTTTCGCTCCCTGCTAAAATCTTCAGACTTTCTATGACTGATTGAACTGGGTGCTGGCCGTGCCGCGCAGGACATAACCGACGGACCTGTGAAGCTTCACAGGAGGCAGAGGCTTAGATCACTGGACGACAGAGTTGGTCGCCGTGTGCACAGACGGAGCTGCTGTTAACGTCGGTGTGTACAACAGAATTGTACCAAAACTACGTCAACTGGCTGCGGTGGGAGACTCCCCTGTGCACATTCTGTGCCCCGCGCACACACTGCAGAACTGCGCAAAATCAGCTGATCACAACGTTCACGCTCTGTGGTCAAGCTGCTGCAGTTTTATTTACAACAAAGTGGAGTAAAACACACAGCTGCAAACTTACTCAGGGTTAATGGAAGAGTTTGAAATCAGACAGAGGTGGAAGAAGTGTTACTCAAGTAAAATTAGAAAAGTATTATCATCAAAATCTAGTTAAAGTAGCGACAGTAAAAGTAGATTGGTCCATTTCATAATAATGTATATGATATGTTTTATAATTATTGATCATTAAAGTGTTTAAAAATTAGTTTGAATGACTTTGTATACTGCAGGGTAGCTTGTGGATTTACTCCAGGTGGAACTAAAGTCTGATTTAACACTTGATTATATTTTCACATCATTCATCCACATCTGTAAAGTAACTAAAGGTATTAAATAAATGTAGTGGAAGAAAAGTACATGATTTACCTCTGAACTGTAGTGGAGTAGAAGTACAAAGTAGCATAAAATAGAAATACTCAAGTAAACTACAAGTATCTTAAATTGTACCTAAGTACAGTACTTGAATAAGTGTACTTTGTTACTTCCCACCTCTGAAATCAGATATGACTTCAAGTCATGTGATAATTTCTTAGTATTTGATCCTTCAACTTGGCCTCAGGAAATGCAAGGACTTCACAGTTTTGGCAACAAGTTTTGGAGAAAGCAAATTGGAGGCTTACAAAGAGACAGGGAGGTGCATCTTCATCATCTAGCATGCAAGAAGTGTAAATAGAGGACAGTGAAGGAGACACTGAGGAGGACAGTGAGGAAGACTGCACTTATTAACACCACGCTTCATGTGGGGTGAGTACCAAACGCTGTCTCCTGGTACTCATCTGAGTAACTCACTCAAAATGTTATGTGCACACCTGACTATATTCCCCTACAGTTACATAATGACTGGTAACTGTTTTTTGAAATGGGGATTACTAGCAGGATTACAATGTTATAAATCTTGTATAAGTAAGAATGATATATTATATGAACTATCTGAATTTTCCTTTTGCATTTCATATAGGCTTATTTAATTTTTTTCTTAAAATGGACACACGATTTATTAAACAAAAATACTGTGTTTGCATTTAATAAATGTGTTAAACTAAAAACATGTGTAAACTTTACTATTCTTTAACCTAGCCTAAAAAAGAGGATATTGATATTTACTCTCTCTTTATTTGCATTGATATTGAGGAAATCCAAAAGTAACGAAAAGTAATCGGGTTACATTACTTTTAGATTGTGATACTCGGATTACGTTACAGATAATTGTTGTACTACAGGTATCTAGTAAAAGTACCCCTCCAACCCTGTATACAAACCAGAAATACTCATCAGAAACTGTGTGAGGATAGTAATAATATTAATAATTTATTAGCAGCTTTCTGATGATTACTAAATGTACCTATTTGAGCCTCTTCAGGCCACGCCCCCAACCAGTGATGTCACAACAGGTGTTTTCCACCAGGGACACTGGTTACACAATCGTCAAGGTTCAAGAGTTTCAAAAGAGCTTTCGAATAAATAGCAAACACTCCCTCTGAGGTGACATCCGCAAAGAACTGAGTCATCCTGCAAAAGCCCTGCTGCTTGTATTATCATCCTTCATCAGACGGACGTCTTTGTGTGCGGGTGAATTTCAATGATCTGGCCAAACTGGAATGATCTACGTCCTGCTTGTTGTTGGTTTCGGCCTGAGGGAGTGCATTTATGCCCACAAAGTTATTTGGACCAGCAGTTCTGTAACAAACTGACTTAAACTTGTCTGTCTGGTCAGACTTGTGTTAGCATTGTTGCTTAGCCCTAAAAGTGTCAAAGAAGAACTGTGTAAAGTAAGGTCAGATATTAACCCTTACTTATCAGGGTTAATGCTCATCAATTCAAGTAATCCAGGTCATTGTATTTAAGGTTAACACCTTAAAAAATCAATAAAAACGTTTTACTATGAACCAAATTTTCACTATCGTCTGCCATATTTCTGTGATATGACGTTAACTTGGCAAATCCTTTAATAAAAAAAAATTCTGCTTATCTTCTAGTGGTAGTTCTGAATGTTCCCACACTCCCTAGAGGAGAAACCATTTAAATGGACCTATACGGCAATGCTGATTTGAGCTGTCCCAAGGCCATATCAAGACTCTTTAGCCTTTTTTTCAGAATGGTTAAAAGGCAAGATGTCCCAACACATACTATGTCATGTGCAGTATTCTTAAAATACCAGGATGTACTACTGCATATATGGTTACATTTTACAGTAAGGCTGGCCATTCATGACCCACAGTCCTTTGCACAGCACTTATATGATCAAGATGGTCAAAGTTCGCAGTGGTATTTCCCAATAGCATGCACACATAAAACGGTACGTGCTTTTTAAAAAGAAAAGGTGGCTGCGATTCTTATTAGAAGTTCAAAAGATAAAGTATTACATTTGGAAAGCGACTATAGTTTTTAAAACTCTAAATAATTGTTTAACTGCTTACTGTAATTTATATCAAACAACCAGGAGAAAATAGTGCATTCTTTTGGGACTTTTTTTAGCAGAGTATAATCAATGTGATGCTCTTTGTGTGAGCAGGACAGCGAACTACATTGTATGTTTATGGTAATGAAGGACCAGACTTAATACTATTTATTTGTTTTTCTTCAGTTTCACTCCCGTCCCCTCAGAGCCTGCAGGAGGTGAGCGTCCCCATCGTGTCCAACACGCAGTGTAGCGCCTCCTATGGTGCCCTCATCACAAACAACATGATGTGTGCAGGTCTGGATGAGGGAGGAAAGGACTCCTGCCAGGTGAGTCCGCTGAACTGTCCTGTGTTTGGTGTGCTTTGTGAGAGTAAGAGGGATCAAAGCTGAGCTATAGGCTCAAGTACAAGTCCCTCAGAGTTGTACTTCAGTATATTTCTTGAAAGTAAATGTACTTAATATCTTAGTCTGCTGCTGTTATAACCCACATGTCTGGCCTCTGCAGGGGGACTCTGGCGGCCCCTTGGTGAGGAAAAGCGACTCCAGGTGGGTCCAGGCCGGAGTGGTGAGCTTTGGACAAGGCTGTGCTCTGGCCAACTTCCCAGGAGTGTACACCCGAGTGTCGCAGTACGAGTCCTGGATCAACACTCAGATCAACAGCCCCAGCACCCAGCCGGGCTTCGTCACCGTCACCGCGGACAGGTCGTCCTCTGGAAGCACTCGTCTGGTTCCTCTCTCTCTGCTGCTTTCCTGCCTACCCGTCCTCTTCTCTCTCTTTGTGCTCTCATAGGACGTCTAGAGGTCATTAATACGCATGTAAAGCGTCATGTATCGCTGCTTCTCATTCTTTAAAACAAGCAAAATAATCTGCACATAAAGTGAAATATTTTAATTTCAAGGAATTTCCCTGAACATTTTCTGCCTTGGTCCTCAGAAGCAAGTGAGAATTTCCTTTCTGGTGATCCAAAGTCTGATGTGTTTTAATGTTTTTCCCAAACATGGGGAAAAAAGTTTGCTTGGTAAAGAAAATTCCCCCCAAAAATGTTCAACTATATAAAAAAGATAGTTTTAAAAAGGTGTTTGTTGTAATGGGTTACTATTTTCAGCGATAATAGGCTGAGATTGAACATTAGCCAATAATATAATTACGATTAAAATCATTCATGTATTCTCCCAGGGTAGTTTTAGAGTACATCAAGACATTTCACCTGGAAGAAAACAAGATTCCTTTTAATCAAATTGAAACAATACACACTACAAAAGTCCCCTGCTTAACTTTTTTTTCACCTGATACACAGATATAAAAAAGTGACATTCCAGAAAGTTGGGCATGTTCATTTCTATTCTCTCCTATTCTTAAATCATAATTACAGGAGAGAAGACATTGTAGATCAGACCTAAAAAATGGAACACCAGATTTGTTTTCCTCACTTGCATCTCAGGGCAACCAATATCAAGATACTGACACTCGTTTAAAAAAAAAACATAACTTTGCTCATTCTGTTCTCAATTAAAGGTATTTTCTTTATAACGAGAGGGATAAGGCCTATAATATCTAAATATACTTTTGGCATATCCTTTCTTTATTCTTCCCTTATATACAACTTGTATGCAGCAGTTTTGCACAAAACATGTAGTTCAGAAGAATATAAACATCTAAAATGTTATAACTCGGATATGTAGCATAACGTTATGTCTGATGTGTCGTTACTGTTTTTGTTGGGGCTGCAAATAACGATTATTTTCTTTAAAGATTTGAATGCAGATCATCTTTCTTGATCAAAATCGATTTTGTTTATAAAATGTTTTAAAATTGTGAAGAAAAAAAGATATAACTTTTGCACTGACGGTGAATTGTAGGGTTAACAAACCTCTGTGATGTGGCAGAGGCAATACTAAAGACATGTATCTGTGTGATTATACTAACATTCATCTCTTTTAAATTAATTACTGTATCTTATGACACATTTTCTAAAATGTTTTGCACTGAGCAAATGCAACGGTGATTTTATTTAAGCTTTAAATACATGAACTACAAATTATGTTTACATATATAAACATTTACAATACATCATTTTAAAATTAGTCAAATGTTTAACTTCATTGAGGTTCCAAATGACACCAATAAATCACAAATGAAATGTGTATGTCTGATTGAATATATTATATAAAATAAAAAATATATTAAAATCTCTAGTAAGATTTTTTTGATTATGAAGTTTTCTGATCATTCTCTTGGAAAAGGAAAAGTAGCAATAAATGCAGGGACGTGCACAGGTGCGGGCTAATGTTGCCCGGGCAACGGCCCGTTTTCCATTTTTGGCTGACCTGCCCCTCTGGAGAGAGCAAGAGGTTTTTTTTTTTCTGTTGTGGTCGAATCAACATAAGCCCACAATTAGTATTGTAGTGTCTCGCTGCGGGAAACACACCAGCTTCATTCTTCTTCTACTACTTCTTTTACTTCTTCTCCTTCATGTAATTGCCCGCGAAATGTTGAATGAAGAACTCGTTTCAGTGTGAACTCATTCCACAGTATGACCACAAAAGTGTCAAAAACAATGGACTCCAGTGAACACTATTACGGGCACTATAGAGCACGTACAAAAGCACGAGCGCACGCACACACACCTGTCCCTCCACAAAGAGAACACAGATGACCTGGTGCATGCAGGAAAGTCCGGATTTTGAACTAGGTGACACTGATGAGGACTTTACATCCTTCCCAACTCTTTTGAAATGTCATGCCAGACTCTGATACTCTTGTAAACCTGGTGTAGGGTGTAGCATACACTTAACTGTTATTTAGTAGGCCTATTTGAGGGTTTTAGATTATGTTCTCACACATTATCAGTCAATGATTAATTTCCTCCCATATATTTTACTGAGCTGTTGAACCCATAGCCTATAAATGTATTCTGACTCAGAATACATTTACAGGGGTTCAACAGCTCAGTAAAAATATATGGGAGGAAATGAATCATTCACGTAATTGGTGACTTATTCAAGGATGATATTTTCTTATCTTTCTGGCAGTTACAAGAAATATTTAGATCACGTAACAGTATTTATTTGGATATCTGCAAATAAGGCATTTTGTATCTTCACTGACTACGTTTTTTCTTTTAACCTGCCTTGCAATGAAACAGAGAAGTTTATCTTCTTGCTGCCACATATCCCACCCACCCACGGACAGGTGCAATTGTAACGAGATAATCAATGTTCTTCACTTCACCTGTCAGTGGTCATAATGTTATGGCTGACCGGTATATTATTGTTCATTGATTTTAAAATGTCTCCCGTTGGTGACATCTAGTGGAAATATTAAGAATGACACCAAACCTACTTTGACTGCTTTTACTATTTAAATCAAGCATTAAATAGATGTGTGTTCAAATAATTTATACTCAAACACATTTCTTATCCTTTAAAATGAAAATATCAAACCGCTTTTTCAATTTTTTACTCACTGAATGTATGAACAAATAAATGAAAAAGCAAATTAGATTTTTGCATCTTGAGTTTTGATGCAAACAACACGTTATCGTTTATCTGTTGAAAGAACCACCTAAATAATCTGCAAACATTTGACTAGCAGCCATCTTTATTCCCCAACGTGTGCTTCAAGAAAGAGTGATACAAATGATATGACATAATATTAAAATGTAGTACCATCTACAACTGATCCCGATAGTCATTTAGCTTGTTTGGGCATTAAATACTATTAATTAAATACTTTGTATTGCTTTATCATTATTAGAAAAATAAAAAGATTCACCTGGAATGTAAGTGTGTTTCTTTAGACTAAAATATGAACCTGAAACTTGCAGCTCAAACATGAATTACAATCATTTGTTTTTCTTCAGTCAGTCTGCACATGGAGACAAAGTGATGTAACAGCCGCCATTCATTTAATTAAATTAAATTAATTTGGACGGCTGAAGAGAGCGATGAATGAGAAGTTCAGCCGAGGAAGGTGGAGATGAAGACGCTGGTGTCCAGGTTGAGGGTGGCGTGCCACCAGCGGTCGGGGAAATACAGAACCTGACGGAGAAACAACCAAAACAATGAGTCTCAGACAGCAGAGCTGCAAACATTTAGAATTATATTAACAAGTCATTTTTCATGCAAAAATGTTTTTAAGCTCAGTTTTTTCAGCCTCTTAAATATGGAGATTTGCTGCTTTCTTTTCTTTTCTTTACTTAATTTCCTTTTCTCTTTCAGGAATAAACACATATTCACTCTTTTGCCCAACTCTTTTCTAACTTTGTATTGGCCAGCCAGAAAAAGATGACTATGTTAAACTGCAGGTAAAGATCATTTATTTTACATGTATTTATTGTTTTTGTATGTTGTTCTTCACAGAGAGCATCAGTAGTCATAACAGAAATGTTGAGTGATGTTTCAGCTAAAATAATGTCTGTATCCTTGGGCTTTGTCAAATGTGTTGAGTACATTTCATTTCTCATAAAACATTTGCACAGCTACTTATTACGCTTTTCTGAAGTATTTAAAACCTGCATTGTTTACATGCTCGCTTGTGTTTTTCTCTTTCTTTAATGCTTTGCAAAAAAGGTTTCTTAGTGTACTGAATGGAAATGTATTTCAAAATCTGCTCTCTGCTGTTTTTAGTCTGAGTAAAACAGACTCACCTCTCCAGGCCTGATGGTGCACTCCAGCGGAGCCTCCTCCTCAGGCAGGTGGGGGTACGTGTCCCTCAGCCAGGACAGGGTGGTGCGGTTCGGGTGGAAATGAGGCTCCCTGTCCGGCGGATATAGGAACCATCGCTGTGGCAACATAAGGTAAACAAGATGTTTATCTGTGTCAACACGTTCAGGATATTAACACAGATTAAATGAATCAGCATGACGTGCAGAGAACTGAACAAATAAGAACCTTTCTGCCATAGATGACCTCAGAGTAACCGGGGCCGTGCCAGTGGAAGGGGACGCCGGTCCCAGGACCTGAGGACACAAACCAGGATCTGAAGGTTTTTATTCAACACATAACACTGCTGAAAATAATTAACAAGCAAACAATAGGCGCTTTCACACCGCAGTACTTTTCCCACTTTAGTTCCGATAGTTCCGAAATGTCGCGTTTACACCAAAAAAATCCGGAACTAAAATGAGTTCATCAGAACCTTTTTTACCCCCTTTTCCGTCCGAAAAGTACTGCGGTGTGAAAGCGCCTATAGAGGCAGGAATTTTACAGTCAAGTTAAGGAGAAAGAAAGAAAGAAAAAAGCATCATTAAAGGTGGGGTAGGTAAGTTTGAGAAACCGGCTCGAGATACACTTTTTGTTATATTCCATGGAATGCTCTTAACATCCCGATAGCAATGAATATCTTAAGTGCTTTGACGAAAAATCCATAAAAAAATGTCATCTGTGGAAGCCGTAATACTGTAAAAGTACGACCAATCATTTTAGCCGGCCCGGCTAAAATAACTGGATGGCCTACCTGCCTGTCAGCCTTCCATCGGGGCACAAACTTATCTCGTGCCCTCATTGGTCATGTGCGCATTTGTGTGTGTTGGAGGAGGGGCTCTGTAAGGAAGTGGCAGATTTTCTTCGGTTGTGTATTTTCAAATTCTAGCGCACTCGAGCTGGTTTCTCCAAAATGACCTACCCCACCTTTAAGAAAAGTGAAACAGAATAATGACATCAAGGAGCTCAAAGAAATAGAGAAACATAGTAAACAACAGAGAAAAATCTCATAAAATCCAAGAAATACTTTTATTCAAAGTAACTGAGATAAAGTGCAATCAAAAGTACTAACTCAGAACAGCGATAACACTGCTAGTACTTTAGCTTAAAAAAACAGCAACTTTTTTAAGTGCTAAGAACTGAAATGAGAATGTTTTTCTCATTTGATTTCTTTATTTTTTGTATTGTTTTGGCCAATAGGCTTTGGCCACATTGCATTCAGTTAAAGTGGAACATAATTCATTCATGTAGAATATGATGACATTTTCTCTAGGTCGAGAACAAGAACAGAAATAAAGTTGATAAAGAAAAAAAAAAAGAAGCAGAGAAACAATATTTATAGAAATCTTTGGATGACCAAAAGAGACTAAATGATTTATCGTTGATGATCTTTGTAGACGATTTGTTCCGTAGGAGTGTAGGACTAAACTAAACATCGAACAGGCCACACGTTCACATTCTGCAGCACTGGGTGTGATTTGATTTGAGCAGAACGAACCTGCGATCCCGAAGCTGTACACTCCGCTGGTGTGAGGCAGGGCGTACGGGGGAGACTCGTACTGCTCAAACAAACTCTGCCACTCTGTGAAGTTGTTGTCTCCAAAGAAATACAGCGTCTCTGCAGGAAGAGAAACATCAATATAAAGCTCTGTGTGCAGACATGGAAGAAGAGTCAAAGTAGAAATACTATGTTTATATATGATATATGATGATTTCAATAATCCATCACAAAATCCTGAATCATTTCTTATACTGGTAAAAAGTTGCTTTAAGTGTTTAAAGGTGCCTGTTTTGAAGTTACATGTTAAATTGACAGATTTTGAAATTGAGTTTGGTGCGAGTAGCAGCCCGACTCGGGGCTATGCTATGCTAGGCAACATTTTGCATTTGATGCAATTGATTTCAAGGTAACATTTAAATTAAATAAAACCCAGAGGTGGATAAAGTACTCTGAAAAGGAGAATAACTCTGCATATATCCACCTGCAGAACCTCTAACTGAGACAGGGTTCATTACTGGTGAGTCACATTCAAAAATCTGAAACTAGGCCTGAAAAAGATTTTTGAAATTCACACAAAACATATTTTATCCTCAAATCCTTCTTTCAAGTAAGGCTAAAAAAACTCAAAACTCAAACACACATTGTTTTTGAAGTTGATCCACTTCTTTTTCATTAAGATTTTGGCTTTCCAATATTTTAATTATTAAGACAAGATATCGGATGTGGAACAGTTGTTCATGTTAATGCTCTAGTTTTGTCTTTTGCTATAAATCCAACGCACCCCTCCTTTTGTTTGCAGCATTACCGACTCAATTATGTGGAAGATACTTGATTTAAATATATGTTATGTAGGTTGTGGCAGATCACTACGACAAATGTGATATAATGAATTGTTCTCAGAATGTCTTTAATATGTATAATATTCAGTATTATAGCACTA